TTGTTTCCTCAGTGAAAGTTTTACACAGCTAACACTATTTTAATGTCTGTCTTACTCCAAGTGCCCAGTGCAGGAAGCATGACCATCAGATCAGCAAGACACACAAGGTAGTCAGGAGGTTGGTGGCAGGACAGTCTCCAATTGTATCTAGTTCTGAGAATGGCAGCTTCTTTAAACATGTTTTTCTCCCAGATACCTTACTCTCTATTTGATTTGCTGCTATACTATCTCATCTATTTATATGAGTAAACACAAGGAACATAGTAGAAAGTCTACTGTGTTTTTCCCCAAACTGTGAAGCCATACTGAGAAATATGGGAATAATTCCTGGATATTAAAGCTTTGCAACAATAGAAATCATTTGCCTACCATGCACGAAACCTGCCTGCCCTTTCCTTTTGTTCCCAGAGTAGTAATAAATCACATGTGTGGCCAAGGTTAAGCACTTTTAACAAAAGTTAGCTTAACAAAAATAAACTGCAAGTTGAGAACCGAGGAAGGTAGCACAAATCTATGAACAGGAGGGTGGAGGAGGGAGAGGGGGAAACTTAGGATTCTTCAGAAACTTTGAACAACTACAAATGGATCCTGCCAGTGATTCATCATGGCACAAAATAGAGATCAGAGCCTTAAAACAGGAGAAAAGCAAGGAGAGAGAAAGAATTTTATCCTAAATAAATTCTCCTATGTTTTATGGCTTAGAGATTATGATTTTGGTGTAGAAAACTTGCAGAGCCACTCTCTACAATTGCAGGCACATTTCCAAGTAAATTCAAGTATCTTTAGGACTCCCTAGATTGTGAAATTGAGAGCTAATGGGGTAATGCTTCACCAGGCAGGACACGGCCTCTTAGTCTCAGTCGTTTCAGAAGGAAGAACACAGCCAGGACCTGAATATCCCTGACAGACAGAGCCCAGGGCAGCTTCGGTAGGATGAACCCCCAGGAGTTCTGTCCCCAGAGCCAGGTGTGCTGGGAGGCACAGAGTCATCTCACCCCACCCCAAGTGATGCATCTGTTCTCTTCTGAGCTAGACCAAACTACTTCAGACAGTGCATCACAAGGACTCTTCAGAAAGTGCCTCAGAGGAATTCTAGCTTCAAACTTTACGGCTTTGCTAAAAGCAAGATGCAGAAACAGAGCACAGGGTAGAACCCCAAGAAACATTTTTATAAATAAGCCCTCAACAGCCACAAGTAATTAGGAGGCACTGCTTAACTGTCCACAATCCTTTCGTGACCTAGACATTTGAGTCCAGCATCATTTTTTCTAAGATCAAGCAATTAAGATGTCATACACAGCATGCATGTCTGATCCCACCCTGGGAAGACCACTGCTTCCTCTCACAACATGGATGCAGACTATTACATGTCCATCAGCAAACACTGCAGGCAGCACCATGGTGCTTATCTGCAAGTTTGCTGTACCTACAGAAGGGCATCCTTATGGGACACTGTTCACTCATTGCTTTTCTCTGGGGAGGGGAGGCTTGTATTTATTTAAGCAAATCCTTGGTACTCATCACTAGGAGAATAGCATTCAATCCTTGCTTTATTGTTCTAGCTGCTATTATTTCACTGTTGTTATGCATAGGTTTGGTAAAAGCTATCAGAATCCCTCATTCTACTGTGTCATGCTGATACTAGAGCATATTCATATATCTCAATGTAAATTGTTCCCAGTAAATTGAAAAAAAGATCAGCTGCAATAAGATACAGATTGAATACAGGTGTCAGACTTTTGCATGGGGATAAAATAGAAGTAATCCCCCTCACCATCTCTCCATAGAACACACACAGAGAAAGTCTGTTGTCCGTAGTGTACCAACATACAGAGGCAATAAACTTTGAATTTATCCAATTTTCTTTCTGTGACGAGAAGGTGGAAGGCATGACATTGATCAGACAAAAGCTTATCACCTTATGTCTACGTAACACGTTTGCAACAAATCAACTCTCGAACTGTATAAATTTAGGGGGATTTATAGACGAAGGCAGAGGCAACATGATCAGTATACAGAAACTTTCAGTATAACCACCAGTAGCTAGAGAACCTTGTTAAATGAGACTGTAAGCTAGTCTGTGGGCTGCATGCAAACTAGCTTGTAAGAGTAGCTCCTGTACAGCGCAGGAGCCACTCTGCTGGCTAAAATGCTTCAGTGGTCCACACACAAAGCTATTCCCGCTCATACATGACTAGATTTTTATGGAAATACATCATAATTGTGGGGAAGGAGATACTGTTTCATTAATGACTTAACCCTCTAGTAGAGCCTTGTCTGTTAGCTAAGCTGGAGTAATAAAATAATGAATATTTTGATATGTTTTCCTAGATTCATACACTAATTTCTTTACACGAAATGGTTAATTCAGTACTTGTGTTTAATTTCAGCCTTCATTTCCTACATAAAGCCTTCTTGGATTTTTCTATTACAGGTCTGAATACTTTTCTACTACTTTGAGCATCTAAGCAACAGCACTAATTACTTTAATTAAATGTAATCAGATATTAATATTGCATAATATCCCCATCCACTAGTTAACTTAGGTGTGCAGTCATAGGTCAGTCATCCATAATTAACCTTTAGCTGAAGCATAAGCACAGTCATTCTGATCACTGGGGTAACTTTACCATTGCTGCTCTTTTTGTCTGACCATACATAACAGGGCTGGCAACAAGCACATACTGGAGAGATTCTTAAGCTTGAGCTTCCTAGGCATTTAGAAGGAAATCAAAGATTGCAACAGACTTACGTGTCTGGGTGACAAGTATAACCTTCGCAGTGCAACATCACAATATTGGAGCTCCACCTTCTCGACTTTGTGGTGGTGGGCTGGTGTGACAGAATGCAACATTTCCCTGTCAGAACCAGAAACAACTTTATAAAACATCTCTTCATAGGAGCTATTTTCTAGTGCAGCTTTTCTGGGACAATCCCAGTTATATCATAAATTAAGCAATAAGTATTTGAAGATAATGGACTGCCCTGTTTGGCTTGCCATTTTATTGCCCTTACCATGTCTGCTGTGTTTATTTTTAAAGAGCTTGCTAAAGAATTATTTTTACCAATACCAAGAGTATTTCTGCCCAGAAGATTTTTTTAGTAATAGTAGAAACCATTCAAGCAACAGACTTCCCATTTCATAGTTTCCCTCTTGAACCTGCAGCTCTACACTTTCATCATTTATTTTTTTAAAACAACAACAGTGGGATTTATCAAGGGAAAACAGACTACCTCAATTAACCTAAACTTTTTTTTTTAGAGCTATGTATGAAGAGGGATTTTCTCTCTGACAAAAAATTGAAGTGAGATCCTATGGTATAAGCACAAATAATTAAGTGTGCTCTCGTTTATTTTTAATTGCACTACATTTATTTTATTCAATTTCAAAGCATTAGCACTATCACTCAGCATACTCTGGGAACTTCTATAGCCATGTAAGTCTCCAGTGGAAATGGGAATTGACTAGTTGGGTAAACAGAAGCCAAATAAAGTTTTAAGAAAAAAGAACAGGTGGTAGAGTCTTATCACCCAAATCTTCCCTTATTTTAAAGGCCTTCCATCTGACCTTCTAGGGAGTTGTTGCACACAATGTTTATTATGCAGATAAGAGATTACTGACATAGTTTGATGTGGAAGTCTGCAATTCCAGCCATTTTGTGTGCTATTCCCTGATCTTTGCTTTCCCAGAGCATTACACAATCATTCCTCCTTAGATATTTCATTCATACATACTAAGGGTAGTTACCCCTTTTGGGCTTTGTATGTGAGCTGGTTTGATCGTCTATGTCAGGTGTTAAGAAAAGATATTTCACCACTGAATTTAAGGTATTGGTAACACATGGACTTCAAAACCGTTCAGCTCGGGAATACAGTGAAACTTGAAGCATTGCAAGCCCTAATATGGCAGTTATAGCTCTACCACTTGGATCCCTTCAGGGCTGGTTGAGCTCACCAGCACGTGTAACTCCTGTAGATGCAAAGACAGACTAGCACAAAGAAAAAAAAGCTTCACCTGAAAACTGAACTTTCACATATTTTATAATCAAAGGAACACCTGTGGACAAGCTTATGAACTACTGGAAAAGACAAATAACTGCAAAACACTTGCCATTGCTTCTGTGTAGACACCTGTGCTGCGGTTTCACTGCACAAGCAAAAGCCTAAAAGGAACCCTAAAGCTTATCTCCTTTTGTAGAAAACTTAAGTGAAGCTATATATTAAGTTTTACACCTAAGTACACTCAAACTTTGAGAGCAAAAATAACCGCGTTGCTCTATAAGGCATGATAGGAAAACACTCACCAAGGTCAGCCATTTTCCTAAGGCTACATGCTGCTCAGAAGGTGTTTTCCACCTGTCTCTCCTCCAAGGAATATCTTCCCAAAGGGTTACAGCCTACTACAGATAGGAACCAAAACTCTAGAGCAGCCAAGAACCGCAAGCAGAAACAAGCATTCACACTACAAAATCCTGCATAGCCTAAGCTGCAGCCACCAAAAAGCTTTTTATAAGCAGCAGATGGGATGTTTCCAGCTCCACCCTCTGGGCAAAACACCTGTGCTCCTGCCCCCAGCATGGGCTCCTCCCCCTGATCTGGGTTTGGAGACTCTCACACACAGTCTGTAAATCAGAAGAATGCTTTGAGGCGCAAAGGTTCTGAAAACTGTTAACAACATGTAAATAGAAAAAAAAATAAAGCCCCAAAAGGCATCAACATTCAATAATACTAACAGTAAATGAGCTATTTATAGCTGAATCTGGGATTATTTCTAGGTACCTTAAAAAAAAGAAAAAAACCCACCCAACCTTGTTTCCTGAATCAAAACTACACGACACAATATATATTTGGTCTTTGTGTACAAAATTCTAAATTTCAAGTGCTAGATCAATTTGGCTTTTTCAGTTTCAGGATGTGTGTGCAGACAACTATCTGCCTTGCATGTATTTCTCTAGTCTTTCCAGACTTTTCTTAAACTTGCACTGTTTTATATTTTGCAGTTCCCTCCTTTTGGGGTTTGGTGAACTCAGCTTGGAATCTTTGCTCTGTTGGGAAAAGACAGTCACCTGTCAATATTGAAACCAGCCATATGATTTTTGATCCCTTCTTAACTCCACTTCGCATAAACACAGGGGGAAGAAAGGTATGTATTCTATCATGTTCTGGTATAAAAACAAGAAGTTAGTACACTTACAAACATGTGCTATATTTTGTATTTCTAAAGCATTTACATTTTTGCCTCAGTCAGCTCTGAGGCAGAATAACAACAACATAATACTTTGCAAATCACAGTTCCATCACCGCTGGAAAGATAGCAACCATACATTTTTAGGTGTCTTCTAGCATATATTTATATTGCCATGTTAATTGTTACTTGAAATTCTGCTGTCTGGAAGAATAGCATCTCACTTAGAAACTCCACGTTCATGATTAAATTTGGTGTTCATATGAGTGGCATTTTAAAGGTGCTGTTCTAAAAGTGTTGTTTAAGATGGCCAGGACCTTCTTCTATTCATTTAAATCAGGATAACATTGCAATGCCATCGTGTTAAGAGGTAGGAAGGGATGAATGAGGTTCTTTATGTTATGAAATAAAAAGAACTATGAGATACATATCTCAGCATGGGACAAGCAGACCGATGTTCAAAAAATGATCTAGTTTCTGTGTTATCTAGAGCATATTGGCACTCATTATAAGAATTTTTATTGGACATCTCACAGCAGAATGGCAACATTTATTTTAATAGATCATAAGTAAATCTCCAAGGATATTGGATCAGATGGAAACGACAGGTTAGCAAAGACTATGTTACTTATCTAAAATCATCATGATAAGTTCTTGTTGAGAAGCGACTGCCACAGCTGAATAGTTTATTAACCAATATGTCTGACCAATAATATTTTTTAAATTATACATATAGGAACCTTATCTTGTTACCCAGATTTGGAAAGCATGTGCATTTGTGCCTGCTGACCCAGTGCTCAGAAGCAGAATTGAAACTGTTACACAGCAGTGTATGTGAAAGTGAAAAAAATGCAGAAGGTTAACAAATCTGAACAGTGAAAGCAGGTTTGGATCCCAAGCATGTTTCACTTTAATAATCTCATGCTCATATCAATAGCATAGTTGAGGACATTTTACATACATGGTTCTTAAAAGTATTTTCTGCATTGCCAAGGTCAGGTGCTAACTTAGTCTTTCCATTTATGTTTACTAAAATAATTATACTTACTAAAAATTAAGAGTACAGTCAAATTTTAGAGTGCAGCACTGAAAAAAAAAAAATCTGAGATCTACTCAGTTCCTAAATTACCATTCAAAGCAAGGTAATCATTTGAAAGCATTTCAAAAAACAAACTCATCCTAATGATTATATTTAATGATTTTTCTTTCACTAAAGAATGTATTCACAGTATGGAAACTTAAGGACAGTCCTCAAATAACTAAGTTACCAATTCTGTTTATCCAACTGAAGGGTTGATACTTTTCAATTCTAAAATTATTTTATAAATAAAACATCTTGAACCTCTTAGAAACAGTCATTAGTCCATAATGTTTATTGTTGCTTCCCTTATGTGAGGATGCTTAAAAAGGTATTTTAAAGATTTTGTTGATTATTCCATGCAGGCAGTTCTCTTTTATTCAGTCTGTAACACAGAACAATGCAGATGACAAGGCATTGTGACTTAGAATATCAGAACAAGCAGAGACTCTAACAAAGGGCTATTCCAAAATGATTTATCTTCTCCCGTTGTCTTGACAAATGAGATTTCTGCTGGAAACAGCATGAGAAGTTAGGAATTTGCTCTGTACGTCCTGCTGAGGTTCTGTTGGTACATGTGCACGTACATCAGGATCGATGTGAGCTTCATCACAGAAAAGATAAATTGGTGTTATTGTTACTTTCTGAAGGACAGTGATCCTTCCCACTATGGCCCAAATTTCAGGGTAATATGTATATTTTGCTTTTTAAGTAGAAAACCATTGAGGTTTTTCATTTTGATACAAAAAAATAATTTTATTGACTGCTATTTTTGTCAACGCTGACATATTTCAATTATTTATAAATTACAGTATGACATAATGTAAAATTCACTACCAGAATGATATGGAAGTTGTCAGTGAATCAAAGCCAAGAGTTCCAGAATATGTAATGTCTTTAGCAATTCTAAGAATTCAACTAGTTTTTTGTACAAGCACGTGGCAAAACAAAGTCTGATTATTCATAAAAAAATGAAGGCACCAGTAACCTGGGAGATGCTGTATCAGTACTGAGGTGTTCTTACCACACTCAAATAATTATCCTGCTGCTGACAAACCGTGGTAGTCTTCTGTCCTGTCACAAGAACAGGATTGGTTCTAGTTGGGGGTAGTCTGTTCTAGAGAGGTTTCTAAAATGGTTGAATCAAAATTCTCATCTGAGGAAAAGACTGCAATTTTAATGTCTTAAAAAAACATTCTTTGCTCATAGTTAAGGCTTCGGTGAGGATTTGATTTGGCGGGCAGTGTATTTGTGTTCACTTTTTGGTAATGTTTTTTATATGTTAAAAATGGAGGTGTGTTTCATATGGGCTGAAGCACTTCAGATTTCAGGGCAATGAACCAATTGATATAGCAGCCAGGGATTTTCTTAGACAAGACATAACTGTGATTATGCTGTACATGAAAGGATTTTATGGAACTGATCCTAAGAAAAATGATGAATAAATAAAAAAGGGATTTGATATGCTTTCAAATCAAAGTTATAATAAGCTAGCTTACATGCATAGTGAACAAGAGAGACAGCTAGTTGCACACAGAGTCAGAATTATACACCTCTTTTGAAAAGGGAGCTGGGAGGAGAGTCAAGCCTTAAGAGAGAGCTAGAGGGAAGAAAACATTCAGTACACTTAAGTCTTGAAACAGTAATTTCGAATTTTTAACAAAATATTTTGCTATCAGAGTTGAAATCAGTTTTATTTGGGTTTGAGAAATCAAATATTTATTTGATTTTGAAAACAGCATTTTTACTTTGTGTGCTTCACTTTTGAAATTAACTTAAGAAGGAACAGAAGTGGTTCACCCACAGGAACAGAATCCAAGACCAGCCTAGAGAAATTCAGGTAACACATACCTGGGTGATATGACCACTAACTTAATGCTTCCTCTTAACTCTTTCATTCCTTGCCACTCATTTCTCTTGGGCCTTTAGTTTTTCAGGGTGGGGAGCATTGCTTAATTTTTGTAAACCAGTTACCTATTTAGTTCTCAATTTCTACCTCAGCAGACCAAAACTGTTGCAAACCATTCCATTACAGAATTTATGACTAAAGATTCTACCTTAAGTCCATACCTTTCTAGCTGATTCCACTAGACAGTTTATTTTATTTCAGTATTAGTGATGGAAGGCATTTTAGTAAACCAGATTGAGACTTTCCTACAATATTTTTAGACCGCTTGGGAATAAAGTAATAATTTTTTTGTTCCTAAAGCAAAGGGATGGTCTGAAAGGAGACTATGAAGGACAACATCACTGCCTTCCTACCCCGCAGCCTACAAGGGGAAAAAAGTACACTCTGTGGCCTGTTACACAGCAGGTGACTTAATAGTTACTTCTGATCTGAGGCTGAGAAGAAAATTCCTCCCATTCCATTCAGGAGCAAAAGGGATGGCAATGCAGTTTTCCAAATATTTATAGCTCTTTGATCCAATTTTTCACAATAATGTATTGCTTTATGTGCTGTCCAGCGATTGCAGTGAGGTATCAAGTCATGCAATTTACAATTCAAGCATCATCAGATGTTGCTCTGAATTGTGCTGTGTTACTTTGTGTGTTTGTGCTTCTCTGTTTCCTGAGAAAGTGGCTTTTCAGATCCTGAAGGCTGAATATCATTGATACAGATAATTGGATTTCAAGATCCAGAATCTCAGCACAAGATATTTAATGAGTTTACATGCAGATAAATTTCCCAGAAGAAATGCTGCTTTTGAGGAACCTCCCCAAGTTTCAGTTCTCTCTCAGGCCCAGCTTTGTCTCTTGATTATCCATTCTAGTGAATTTTACATGCAGCCCATTTCAGATAAACAGTCCTTTATCATAAACAATGCAAACCCTTATTAATACGCAAATCACACTCCTCCACTATGTCACAAAGGAAAACACCATTTTACTTTCTCTGATTTTTTTGACTTGAATTCACATAAGCACCAAGGCAGTCAGCAACAGAACAGACTAGCTTCATCGACGAGCCAGTGTAGTCTAGTGCCATTTAGGCAGCAAGCACTGTGGGTTTCAGTTTCCAAAACAGGAATTTCCAGACTGTCATGGATAATAATAGCAGATGAACAAATCACCTCACTTCCCAGTGAGCTAGTCCTCTGCTGGGATTTCTTCCTCCCTTCACCAGTGCTGGCATCTCTCTTCTCCAAGAGCTTTGCCATTGGTCGCCCAAAGTCTGCCCCCTGATTTACCTTGAGCCCATCTGCCTTTAATCTCCTGATTCCCTGTGGACTTAATTTCAAAATTTCCAAGATTCTTTAAGACTGAGCTACAGTTCTTGGCTGTACTTTTTTTTTTTTTTTCCTCCTAAAAATGTGTTAAGTAACAGCATTTGCTTTAGACACTAGGTGCATCCCTACCAATTAATTAAACCTTGCATGTAAGTGATGTCTTACTAATCATTTTAGGTCACGCTCAAGGACTTCAATTGTGGTTTAAAGCAGGTAAAGTTCTGTTTCAAGATCAATTTATTTTTAAGACAAGGAAGGCCATTGTACCTGATGTTGACCTCTGGGGAAATAAACAAATCAATGTCTGCTGGCCAAGGACTGTTACGTACATTCTCTAGCTCAGTGTGCAGAAATGAAAGTTACTCAGTAAGATCCATAAGTCCGCCTTCTCGTATGGGACATTAATGAATGCAATCACATGTTATTTAAATTAATATATTTATAAATAATTTGTTCCTTCTATGCATCACAAGATAATGGTGATATTTAGCAGTTTCTAAAGTAAAATAGCATAGAAGAAAAGAGATTTATGAATTGAAATCAGTTAAATGGTTTCTCTGCCAGCTAGTTCTGATTCCATGCCGTTCAATCAATTCAGAGTATTACTAGCATTTTTCTCAAGAGTGCAATATATGACAACTGCCAAGCTTTGC